TCTTTTTCTTTTTCAGGTACAAAAAAAAAATTTTTTTTTTTTCGTCCCTTTGTTCTCTGCCTATTTTTTTTTTCAATGTCGTAAAACGTAGTAGAAAAAAAAAACTTTCTGAACAATGTGAATTCTCTAGTTCAGGTAAACAATTTCTTCAACCTTTTTTTTTTCTTCTTCTTCTTCTTCTACAACCATTTTTTAAATGGCGAAGGCAAAGGAAATGATTTTTGTCAGTGGCGTAGCAAGTATTTGTACGTATCGAAATTGTCGACTGCGTTGTTATTATTATTTTTCTGTGCGTTATTTGTAGTTTTTTTTTTTTTTAACGGAGCCTAAATTTTTTTTACTCTTGAAAATGCAAGAAAACAAGCAGGCTTACCAACAACTGACCTTTCTTAGAATTTTGTTTTGACAAAAACATCCTAAATAAATTTTGTTTTTTTTTTTTTTCTATTCAATTTGTTGTTCTTTCGTCGACATTTCACTACAATACAACCACTACCGAACAAACGAAAGAACGTTTTTTTAATATTATCGTTTGTATTTTTTTTTCTATTACCACGATAAAAAAAACGTAAGATTTGTTGCGATTGTAAAAAAAAAAAAATGAAAATTTCGTAATTGAAATTTGAAAGTGGAAATAATAATGATATTAATAAAATTCGTTTTTTTTGTTATCATAATAAAAAAAAAAACTATTTTTTTTAAAATTGAGCAAAGGCCACCATATAGTAAATAAACAAATAATAATAATAATAATAATAAATTTTGTAACGTTTAAAACAAATTTTTTTTTTTTTGTTTTGTTTATTTATCATTTTATTTTTATTTTTTATTTTTTTGATTCATAATTTTCATTCAGGTATTCAGGTACGTTTGCGTTATTATTATTATTATTATTATTATTATTATTATTATTCAATGAGATTTTTTATTATCATCATTATCATTATTTAATATGTGCAATTTCGTGGTTTTTCTTTTTTCTTTTTTTTTTCGTGAATTTCTCAAGAGTCAATTACATACAAAAAAAAGGAAAAAAAAATTTTTTTTGTTTAAGTTAAACTTGAATATTATTATTATTATTATCATCATTTTTTTAAATAAATTGATGTGGATTTAGATTGTTTGTTTGCTGCGGTTGGCGAGAGGTTTTTTCGCATAATAATTGCAATTAATTTTAATTTTTTTTTGTCGTCTTTCTGCTTCAACGAATTTTTTTTTTTTTTTTTTGCATTTTTTCGTAAAAAGGAAAATGAATAAGAGAAATCATAATAATAATAATAATAATGATGATGATGATGATGATGAGAGGGCAAAATAATTGAATAAATGTCACGAAATGAAAATTTAACCCATTTAAAGATGTGGTGTGAGGTCAAATAAAATGAAGAGCATCGCGAGTAGTAGTGACTCTCACTACCTCTCTCTCACTATATCTCTCTGTCTCTCTCTTAATTTCTTTCTCTCTCTCTCTTGGGATTCGATAAAATCAAATTTTTTTTTTTTTTTTTTTAATTCAAATAAATTGGCTTTATGGCTTTCGCGTTGACTTGACACGTACTCATTCACTCGTGAGTTTTAGAGTTAATTTTTTTTTTTTTTTTCAAAACGGCCTTGAATTATTATTATTATTATTACCTTTTTCAATATAAAAGAGAGAGAGAGAGTAAAAGTACGATGTCAAAGGCACACAAAGTCAAAATGAAAAAAAAGAAAGAAGGAAAATCGAATGGCAATAGATTTTTTTTTTTTAAACTTCCATTCGCACGATAGTGTGATTAATGAATCACAATATCGCATCGTGGCAGTAGAAAAATTTTTTTTTTCGGTCATCGAGTACGAGAGACATTGTTTAAACGTTTAAAATTTAAGTTTCCGTTAGTTCGTCAATTTTTTTTTTTTTTATATCTCCATCTATAATTATTTTTTTAAAATCGATTTGTGTGTCGGCGAGGGAGGGAAATAGCATCGAAAAGATTTTTCATTTTTCGTGACGAAAAAAAAAAAAAATGAGTCGTCAACCATCGTGACGCATCGTCACGTCGTACAAACGAACAATTATTATTATTATTGTTTTGTTTCTTTTTTTTTTTTTAATTTCGCACGTTTCACGTGTAAAAAAGTTTTAATTTCCATGTTTTGACTGAAATTTTTTTTTTTTTTTAACTTAAATATATTATTATTATTATTTTATTTACTTTGCTCGCAATATAAACAAACATATTATTATTATTATTATTATTGTTTTGTAAGAAAAAAGAAAAGCAGACTAATTGCAAAGTCTTTTAATATGACCCAAAAAGATAAAAAAAATTTTATTGCGTAATTTTCTTAATTTTTTTCTACCATTTATACCAACAAACATTTAAATACTTTAAACAAACTATAAAAGTCCTGTAAATATTATTATTATTATTATTATTATTATTATTATTATTATTATTGTTATTAGTATTATTATTAAACACTTTCACGTTCGGTAAGTTAATCGTTGGTGGATTTGACGTCAGAGTTTTTTTTCAGCATTCGTTCCTATTATTAACGAATTTTTTTCTCTGAGTTATATTTGGAAAGAAAGAGAGAGAGAGAGAGAGAGAGAAAGCAAAGTGTAGGATGATATTAGAAGATGAATGATAATATTTTTGTAGGTTTTGCTATCGTCACAAAATCTATAAATATTAATAATAATAATAATAATAATAATAATAAAAATAAATGACAACGTGGGTTTTACATTAAAATAACTGTCTGGTTCGGTTTCCACTCGATTTCATTCGTGGTTAAATTTCGTGTGAAATTTTTCTTGTTTCTCCAGGCAGGAGCAAGGAGCAGGAGCAGCAGAAGCTTTTTTTTTATTCTTAACGATCGTCAAATACGGTTGGTTGAAAGAGAGAGAAAGAGAGAGAGATAAAGTGAAATTTTTATTTTTTGGCACGTCGTAAATTTCTCAGAGAGACCGTTAAAGTGCGAATTTAAAAAAAAAAAATGTCGACAAGTTTATCGGTGAAAGAGAGAAAGAGAGAGAATGTTTTCATTCATTCTATTCATTCATCTGATTTAAAGAAAGTGAGAGAAAGAGAGAGAGAGAGAGATAAGTTTAAATCATTGTCAACATTTGCGTATTTACAAAGTTTAACCATAACATAAAAGCGAAAATTTTTTCCTAAATTACGCAACGACGTTTTGCGATTGCAATCCGCCCCTCACCCCCCCCCGGTAAACGTGTAATTAAATTTAAATTTAAAACGCAAATTTGAAAAAAAATTACCGAACTCATTTAATAATTTAATACGCATAAACGAAAAAAATGGAAGACATTTTCTTTTTGTTTCTTTTGTTTTTTTTTTTTTTTGGGGGGGGGAAGGGGGAATTATTTTCGCGTTAAACGAATCACGCCACGCCGCGGTTATTCAATAATATTTTTTTCATCTTGCGGTTTTCTTTCCATAATCATCATCATCATCGTCATTATTTGTCTTTTTTTGTTTTCCGTTCTCATTCGAACCGGTGACAAAAACATAATAATGTTTCTTATGACGTTTTCGATGCGTCTTCTGCTTTTATTTCATTAAAATTAAGGTCGATTTTTTCTCGCTTTCGATTGTTTTATTCGTGTCTTTTCAAATCGAGTTTTCGCCGCGTTTCTTTCTTGTTTCCTTAAAAAATTGAAAGAGAAAAAGTACGCTTTTGTAAAACATTATTATTATTATCTTTAGTTTAGTTGTTTGTTGGTTAACTTGTCAAAAGCTTTGTATACGCATTATTGTTTACATTTTTCCCTTCGGACGCCATATTTGTTTTTTTTTTCTTCTTTCTTTTAACCTGGAATTTTTAGTCGTCGTTAACCTTCTTTTCCCTTCTCCTTCCCTTTCCTCCTTTCCCCCTCTCATTTAAAATCACATTAATTACTTTTTTTTAAAAATTCGATTGTTTTAGCGATTGTTCAGTTTTTTACGTAACAATTATTTTGACGTTTGTACCATATATATTTAATTGTTTACATATTTTTTTTTTCGGGGTCGAATTCACGTCGTTTTTTATTATTATGATTGCAAAAGTTTAATTTTTTTAAATCGTCGAACAACGACCGTTTGTTGTTTCGAATGCAGTTTTTTTAAAAATGTTGATACCGTTTGTTGTTGTGTAACGTTTTCTTTTTCTTCTTAAAACGTGAATTTTTTTTAATTCAGTCTCATTTTTCGAATGTAACTGATTATTTTTGCACGCGTTAAAATCGATTCGATACTTTTCGAGTTGTTGTTGTTTAATGAAATGATAATCGAGCTATCGTAACGTTAATTTTTTTTTTTTTTGCCAAAAGAAATTAAATAAATTACGTCGAATTTGTCACGAAGCTTTCTTTTTTTTTTTTTTTTTTTGTAAATTCGCATTAGTGCCGTTTTTAATTTTTTTTAGTAAATAAATTTTATTCACGCACAAACATACCGCAAAAAAAAAAAAACGAGTACATTTATTTAATGTTTTCATTAACGAGAGAAAACTTTTTTTTTACTAAAAAAAAAAAAAATTGTGAAAGTTTTTTTAACCTGTTTTTCTTTTTTTTCCTCTTATAAGTGAAAAAAAATTTAAAGATGGAGGTGAGAAAATAAAATTCTCGTGTATGGTATAGTCAGTTAAATATTTTTTAAGATTGAATTTAGATCAAATGTCAAATTTAATTATAACGTCGTAAGTATTTGCTCCCACGTAGTGCACATAAGGCGGTTTCAAGGTTTTGTTTTAGCGATCTATCGATCGATGGATCGATTCGCAATCGGAAAATAATTCAAAACACGCCAAAATTCGCGCGTTTTTTATTGTTGTTGTGGTTGTTGTTTAGTCTCCTTGTTAAAATCTTGTTCGTTTTATTTCGTTAGATGGTTCGAAAAAGAAGAAGAAGAAAATGAACGATTTAATTATTATTATTATATCCCACATACTGATTTAAAAAAAAAAAAAAAAATTTTATCGTTTTTTAAAAGTTCAAAAAGAAAAGAAAAGAAATGAAAGTGTTAGACAATAGCGTTACCGATAACGGTAGTACTAGAAGAAGATCAACGTTTTACGTTCCTTTAACGGAAACCGTGTCGAACAACAATCAAGAAAATAAAAATTCATCAATGAAAAAATCATTTGTTGATAATAAAAATAATCTCACGGGTTTTTCACCGTTTTGGAAAACTCCGAAAAAATCATTTTCACCGCCTACGGTGAAAAATCAAGAAGGAAGCGGAACGACGTTGAAAAAAATCCCGTTGACGAATTCACTTTCCGTGGATTCATCCTCCGGTGGAAAGTTAATTAACAATAAAATAATTCAACCAACTCCGGGGATTTTAAGAGGAGGGATACCAGGTGGTGGTAAAATAACTCATTTGCAAAAACCTCAACAAAAACCATCATCGAAGGCGGTCGATACGGCGAAATTGTTGAAAACATCATCCGTGTCCGTTCCCTCATTGGATAACACGTTCGCACTTTCGGTCGTTAAAAACTCTTCAACGAGCACTCAGAGTTTAGAAACTCTCGTCGTTGGCGGTGGTGGTGGTGGCAGCGGCGGCGTGACGGAAGTTCACGTTGAAAAACAACCGACTACGAAAACGACGAATTTGTTTTTGTACAAGAAAGCGAATCAGAACAAAGTGACGCGTTCTCCGTCTCAGACTTTGACGGTTGAAAATCTCGTAAAAAAAGTTACGTTGTCGAATTCGAACGTTATGACGACGACGCCGACCATATCCCAACTTCAAACTCCTCCGAAAGATTTTGGAAAATTTTTGAACGTGCCTCAAATAACTTTGGAATCCGAAGACACGGACGATTCGGAGGGTTTTAAAAAAAATTTCGAAGAAAGTAAAAATTTGTCGTCATTTAAATGCGTCGGAGGAGACGAATACAATAATGGCGGTGGCGGTGGTGACGACGACGACGACGACGACTGCGGAATGCATTCAGGTAGGACCAAAATCATTTATTATGAGTTTAAAATTCGAGATAATTAAAACGAAATTATCGGCAATCGACAGACGACATCTTTCTCCTTTTTCATCTCACGAAAATCGTTTTATTTAATGGCGCTTTCGTCATAATAGACCAGTAACGATCCTTCGCCTAATACTGACGGCTCTTGCTCTGCCACTCTACACACGTACTAAAACGAGTATCGATTAATAGTTTCGTAAACTAGTTGGAATAATTTTTTTTTTAGTTTTTTAGTTGTTGACCCCGAACTCATTGTTACGCATATACTCGTTGACCCTAAAAAAAAAAAGCAACTTAAAATAACTGTATTAATTATTATTAGTATTATTAAGAGCACAAAGAAGAAAAAGTTTGCTTTGTGTTTATTGAGGAGCTCGAATTCCCTTCGATGATCTAGAATGGATAATAATAGTTCGAGTGTGTGTGTGTGTGACGATTTAAATTCGATGAAATAAAAAAAAAAAAACGATGAATCGACGGCGATGATGGCGGCAGCGGTGGCGGCGGAACGATATACGCCACTCTTTATAAGAGTGAATGCCACGTAATGAGTCACTAATTTGAGAATTACTTGCAAAAGATGTTGACCCGATGCGCAAGCAAGTATGTTATGTTCCCTCAGGGGTTTAAATAAAAAAAAGAAACGTGATGAGCATTTAATACGTTCGAAATTATTATTATTAATGAATAAGATGGAAAAGAAAAAAGGACCGAAGGAAAAACAAAGGAAAAAAAAATGCACGAGATAGAGAGAGAGGGAGAGTGAGTGACTTTTAAAAAGAACACACACACACAAATGCAAGCAAAAACAAAACAAAACAATCATTTTCGTCTGCTCTTTTTTCTCTCCTCCCTCCCTACCTTCTTCCTCTTCGCGTTTTCCTAAAAAAAAAAAAAAATGAAAAGTAAAAATGACTCTGTGGGTTGACTCAGAGGAATGAAAATCTTTGTCTTTTTCCATCCGCGAGACCTTTTGACCCGGTGAACAAAAAAAAGGCGTTGTTGAATAAATAATTCGTACGAACGGAGTAGTAGTAATTCTACATAATTTTTTTTTTGTTTTTCCCTTTCTTCCTTTGTTTTAAAAGTTATCAAAAAAGAACGTGGCTCTAGATCTTTGTTCTACGAATTGATAATTATGAAACGCGGTGATTAAAACCGTGAAGGCGGAAATAAATTACCGCAAAATGAGACCTGGAAAAAAAAAAAAAATTTCTCCAGGAGAATAAATGACGAAGAAGAAATCATTGTAAGAACAAACAAACAAACAAACAAACAAACACGTGTATGTGTGTTGTTCTTCACGACTTGTTTGTTGTCATTGGGAAATACTTTTTCTAAAAGTATTTTGGTCACCCCCACTCAAACCATTGATTCGAGCGGAATAATAATAATAATACGGACCGAAATCTCTGCAGGTTTTTTAGTTACGTAAAACGAGAAAATTTAGGTGGAAATCGTTTAAGAACGTTAAAATTTGGGGGATGAAGGGGGAGGGGAGGGGAGGAAAACCCAATAATTTAAATGTTTGATCGATTGTCAACCGGTTATTAATTACTACTCGATGTGGACCGACATTTTTTTTTTTTTTTATGTAAATACTTTCGCGAATAAAAAAGTTATCGAATCGCATTAAAAAAAAAAAAAAAAGTAACGGAGTTGATAATGTGACTGGTTGCTCGTGGCTGCTGCCACTTGCGCGCATTCAACGCGACACAAGTCTCTGGCAAATTGCTAATTAATAAGACGTTGAACTCATTTTTATTAATACATAACTTTAATAACTTGAAATAAAAAAAAGGCAAAAATTATCTCGTTTGTTGTTATGTTGGTCGGTTTGTATATCTTTTCAATTCATTTAAAAATTTTTTTTTTTTAAATTGATAGTCGGTTTATGTTACGTGTAGGAATCGTTTATCTATCTACTTATCTATCTATCTATCTATCTATTTATTTATTTATGTATACACCTTTCAGTCGTAACAAGAAAATGGCGGTTGCTGATAATATTCGAGTTCATGTTATTACAATTCAGTATGTAAATGATAATAATTGTTTACAGTCTGATAGAAATCGATCGAGAGTAATCAAAACAACGTGGATTTTAATTTAGATTGTTAACCGTTCGACCTTATCAGGAATAAAAAAAAAACCGTTGATAACCGTTGCTTTTTATCATTATTATTATGACCAGGCGTTTAAAAAAAAAAAAAAAGAAAAACGAGAAAAGGTTAAAAAACGTGAATGAATTTCATCACGGGTCGTGGATCATCGATATCGAAATCGAAAATATCGATCGATAAATGACGTCATTTTAAACAAAATTTAAAATCGAATTTGCTGGAGAATGACAAGGGAGGAAAATGTGAAGGAGGAAAACTGGAGGAGAAAGAAATTTTTTTTTTTTTTTTTTTTATGTTTTGGCAAGCTTGATTCATTTGTTTTTTTCTCTCTCTTTCTCCGAATCAAATCAAAACAAGTCGGATGATAACCCAGGTAGTCATGGAATTTTTTTTTTTATTATTGGTTTTATTTACGGCTGGAATCAAGGAGTCGGATCTGAAAAAAAAAAAAAAGAAAAATTTATAGTTGAAAAATCAGACGCGTTAAAAAGTTATTTATTAGACCGGTCGTAAAGATTAGATTTCAGATTTGTGCGAGTTGTTGGCTACTTTTTCTCTCTCTCTCTTCTCCCTCTCCTTTTCTCTCTCTCCAGTTTACATTTGAAAAATTTTTTTTCCAATTACGACGACAGCCGAAAAAAAAAGAGAATTTTTAAGGAATTTGTTGCAGTTACACACACACACACGCACGCGAGTACACATGGACGTTTTTAAATGGCTTTGTCGCCATTTTTAATTTTTCCACGTGAAGAAGGAAGAGGGAAGATGTGGGGAGATTTTTTTTTATTATTAACGGGGTACAAGTTATGCATATTCATTTTTTTTTTATTTTAACGGTTCACAACCACGCAAAATGCTTAAAAGCACTCACGTTTTAGTAATTGCATCCCATACGCACATGTGCACGCGCACGCATCCACATGCAAACGCACGTGTCGTAGTTATCCATTATCCATTTATGTAATTTTATGTAAATTTGAGGTTTTATCTATAAAAACTCTTCAATTCAAATTACACGTTGAATATTTATTATTATCATTATTATTATTAATAACCACAAGTAATTATGGTCGTTTCCTAGCAGACGATTTTAAAAGTAAATAATAGATAAATTTAAAAAAAAAAAAAAAAGAAAAGAAAAGAAAAACGGTTGGAATTTAATTGGGGAAAAAAAATGAAAAAAAAAAAACTTTTAATTTTTTAAAAATTTTGGAATTTCCGTTATTATTATTCTTATTATTATTTTAATGATGGCGGCTTTTTCAGAAATCAAATTAATATTGTTTTTTTTTTTCTTTCTTTTTCCACTGTTTTTATTACGGATTGATTCAACGTGGTTACGTGGAAGAGAAAAATTAAAACATTTTTAAAAACTATAAAAATTTTACGCTGGAACTTTTTTTCCAGATTTTTTCCGAACGCCTTTTTGTGGGAAAAAATATTATTATTATTATTAAAAAATTACGTAATTAATATATGTTTCGCTTTTGGTATAATGAATTTTCTAAGAAGATGATGAGTATCGGGTGTTGTTGTTGTGACACGTTCGAAAATTTTTTTTTATTTTTTATTTCGATTTATTTATTTTTTTTTTCTATCTCGTGACGTCCTGTATAAAATCGTTAATTAAACCGAATAATGGAAAATAATAATAATAATAATAATAATAAAATTATTTGTAGTAAAACGAACGAAATTAATTTTTAAAAAAATTTTCTCCAGTTATCAATTCGTTATTTTGCTAATAAGTGAAAATTTAAATTATGCAACCGGTAAAACACGCGAATACGAACGATTGACGCGAAATTTTTGTTTTTCCATGTAAATAAATATATATAAACAAAGAAAGGAAAGATCACGTTGGAGAAACGTCGTGTAAATAATAATCGTATCGCGCGCGCGCGCGCGAAATTTAAAATTTTCGTTTTAAACTATGCATAACTACGTCATCATTCGTATGGAATCCGCGAAATTTATTTTTTTTCTTTTTTCCCACCCGTTTTTAAACCCGTTTCAAAATTGTATTATTATTATTATTTTTTTTTAAACCCATTATCTTGTTTGAAATAATATTGGTGATGATAAATTTGCGAGAATTCTCCTCTCTCCTCTTTTAAATTTTGCACACAAAAAAAAAAATTTAAATGAATTGTAATAGATCCGCCATTTAACAAAAAAAAAAAAAAATGGCATTATGCAAAAATGTTGCTAATTTTCTTTTTGTTGTTCACCCTAATAATATATATATATAATATTCAATCGCAAAACGTAGCGTGACATAAGGTTTTCAGTAAAAAATCACTTTTATCTCTCTCTCTTTCTCTTTTTTATTAGAATAATTTCGAAGGGATTTAAAAAAAAAAAAAAAACACGTATATTAACCACCACCTTGATGACCGTGAAGAATGAATTGATGATAATAGAATAAAAAAAAAAACATTTAATTCTTTTTTCTACATTTCTCTCCCTCTCTCTTTCTTTCTCTCTCTCTTCTCGTAGAGTTCATATATACAAGGAAAGAATTAGAAAACAACCCAAATGGATTTTTTTTTATGGGTTTTATATTCGATAAATGGCGATTTCATTTAGTTATTCAAAGCCGAAGAGGGAGGGAATTTTGTACGGGGTTGAAATTTTTTTTTTAGCCTTCGGTGGTCATCTTTTGTATTCCGATGATGCTATTTAAGGGATGATAATGCATCGCTTTACTACTATCACAACAACAAAAGGGGTTCATTGTGATTATTATTATTATCCACTGTATGTAAAAAAAAAACCAAAATTTAAATGTTTTGTTAATTTATTTTTTAAAAAATATGTATTCAATTATTATTATTATTTATTATTATTAAAAAAAATGTTACGTCGTTGTCAGCCGCACCTTTTGACGTTTTTATTTATTGTTTTTTATCAAACCGATTCTAAACGTTGGCGGTTTATGTTGTCGCCATGTTTGATGTCATTCTTTGATGGTAGTAGTCGTGGCGGCGGCTGCTGTTACATCACTATGGTGACCAGAATCGTACCAATCGAAGATGGTAAATAAAAGAAAACTGAACGTACACT